ATGTTTTTGGGTCCACCTTGAAACATTTCCGTTGTGCTAAGTGGATAGGAACTTCCGGTAAAAAGTGTACATTGATCAGGCGAATACATGTCTTGCAAAACACCAGGGGCCTCATGTACGAAGACTTGCGTTGAAATCATACTAAAACATTGCGTACGCACAAACCTGTAAATGTGCGTACGCAGAAAAAAATTCAAATGTATGTAACACTGCCTACACAGAACGCCACGCATATTCTCTTTGTTCATCCGAATTAACGTAAAACTGAGCGCAACATGCAAGAGCACAAAACCTCTCCTTGCCTGCCGTATGAATATGCTAATGACTCTAATTTGGCAAAACCAAATAAAAAAGCAATGGCAAAAGCAAACAAAAAGAGAAACTTTGAACAGAATGTGAATTGGAGGTGCTCCTTTTGGAGGTAGACCGGAGAAAAAAGGTATTATTTGCAAGTTTGTCCTCGAATTAATAACAAAAGAAAAAAATAGAGTGGGAGAGTTTAGCTGACATGGTTAATGCAGTTGGGTCTGAACAGCGTAGTGTGTATGTACGCAGCATTGATACGAGGCCCCAGGGGTCTCATTTATAAAGCTTTGTGTAGAAACCTTCTTAAAAGTGAACATGGTGGGCTACATTTTTTTTATTTAATTTTTTTTTAATTATTATGGATCAATTAAAGTGGTTAAATTAATTAAATGAGACCTCAGCACAGTATTTTAAAGTGTTACAAGGCATACTCATTAAGCAAAGCTAATAGCTGTTTTTATCCATCTAGTTTGTATGCATATTTTGGAATGTTGGATTAAAATGCATAATGGAAATTCTAAGATGAGCATACATTTTGAAAATGTGCATTAAAAGTCATCCGTGTAAAATAAACTTCTTATAAGCTCTGCAGTTTAGTTTCAGTCCTGCTTCAACACACCTCTGAGTATCAAACAAGTACAAGCAGTCTATTAGTTTGATCAGGTAAACTGTGCAGAGCTGCGGCCCTCCAGGAACTGAGTTTGACACCTGTGTTGTAATGGGACTGCATTAATGAACAAACCAATGAACCAACCACATTGAACAACACTGAAATGTTGTTTTGATTGTTCTAAAAGTCCTTAGCTAAAGTGGTTCATATTATCTAGGCCCGGATTGGCTAATCGGGAGGACCGGGAGAATTCCCGGTGGGCCGGTCCGTTTTTTGGCCGCGAGGGCCGGTGTCCCTAGTTCCAGAATCTGTAGCTCTCAGCAGTCACACTTTTTAAAAATAATTTATTTATTTACTTGACCACAGCCTTCTTATTCATTATTTTACCACAGCTCTGCTCTTTTTATCTATTTTCTCGTAGCCTCGTGAGCTGGATGCAGCCTGCAGGTTAAAGATGATATAACTAGATAAGTCACCTTTCAACATACAGCTGTTGTGGTACAGTGGTTAGTACGTTAGATTATGACGCGGCCAACCTGGGTTCGGTCCTTGTCTGAGTATCAATTTTTTTTTTTCATTTTTATTGTTAAGACATAATACTGTAAGGGTTGTTGAACATTTGAAGTTCTAAAAGAGCTGTTTTCTCAAAAAAAGACGTGATAGTGTAATTAGAAACTGAATTGGAAATAACCTTATTTTAATATAGTCAGTGGTGAACTGAGGTGGGCCGGTCTGAGGCTTGAAACTCCAGGGGCCTCATGTATTAACGCTGCGTACGCACAAAAACTTTGCGTACGCCAGGTTTCACGCTCAGAATCGCTCACGTTTGGATTTACTAACAATGAACTGAACGTGGGAATGTGCGCAGCTTCACGGCAGCTTTCTGGCAGGCGTACGCACATTTTTTGTGCGTGTCTGTTTTATTTCCATTGGCGACTCCTAGAGGCAGTTGTGTTAAATTCCTCTCTACAAAGTGACTGAGCCTTGCAATGGCAGCTGTATGAGACGGGTTCATCGATCTAGCAGGTAAATACGATTTCCATACCATACAGTTGAGCAGCTAAACATTAAAGCACAATTTGCAGCAGTCGCCTGTTTTCCCAATGTAATCTGAGCTATCTACTGCACGCACATTGCTATAAAGGCACCATCTGAAGATGAATTTGCATTCGTGAATCAGAAACATTTCCATTCAATAAATGTGCAAATAAAATATGATGCACAAACTTATTGATGATTCATACTTGTCTTTCTCGTGATAAATAGTAGGCAAAATCTGATATGTAGCGGGGGAAAAAAGAAGAAAGAGTTCATCAGACGCTGGATTCGAGCCGAGTTCATGCTCGAACGTGTCAAAACATGATGACATGCGTCCTACGAGCGCGCCACTGAAAATGTTGCGAGTGTTGCAACATTTTACAGATATAAACCACACTATTTCTTTTTTTAATGCACTCAGGGCGATGTTCAGACCCAACTGTGTTAACCGCATCAGCTAAACTCTCCCACTCTATTTTTTTCTTTTGTTGTTAATTCCGGAGAACAAACTTGCAAATAACACCTCTTTTCTCCTGTCTACCTCCGAAAGGAGCACCACCAATTCACATTCTGTTCAAAGTTTCTCTTCTTGCTTGCTTTTGCCTTTGCTTTTTCGTTGGGTTTTTCCATTAGCATAGTCATTAGCATATTCATACGGGGGAGGAGGCAGGGAGGGGTTTTGCGCTCGTGCGTGTTGCGCTCAGTTTCACGTTCATTCGGATGTACAAAAGAATATGCGTGAGATTCGGCGTACGCAGTGTTTCATACATATGAATTTTTTTCTGCGTACGCACATTTACAGCTTTGTGCGTACGCAATGTTTTAGTAAGATTTCCACGCAAGTCTTAGTACATGAGGCCCCAGGGCTGAAAAAGAGTCCCACTCCGGCCCTGATATTATCACCGGAAATGTCCTGAATGGCTTTGCTTCCACCGTTCGTTTACTGCATTTTATCTTTTGAGGTGCAAGTAATTTATTATGCAAGATAAAATCTCATTTTTTTGTGTTATATATATTGGCGCCAGTTTATCAGGAAGTGACGATTTTGAACTTTTTGACTGATGGGGTGGAAACAGTGCTTTATTTGCAAATGTATTATGCGATATTCCAGTTTGGCGCACAAGTCTTATTTGCTGTATTTGGATGAGAACACTGCTATTGTCAGCAGTTTTTACCATTGGTATTGTGCTCTTTTCTCAGTCTCAATGGTATCTGTACCTGATGTGAAGGCCCCTAGATTAATGCACTTTGCACTAATACAGTTACTATTTGAAACTGCCTAAATTCAACTTTTAATGACCTCCCTAGGTGTGAAGATGCCCTACGCAAAAATAAGAGTCTGATTGGTCCAGACCAAAAAGAGTATCAGAGAGAGCTGGAGAGGAACTACCACCGGCTGAAAGAAGCTCTGCAGCCTCTCATTAACAGGAAGATCCCACAACTCTACAAACCCGTGTTACAGGTCAACTCGCACAGGTCAGACAACAAAAATTCACAGCAAACGCTCTTAACACATGAAAAAATAAATCTGCAGAAACTTTGTTGTATGAATGAATAATGGTGTGAGCTGCTCTTTGAAGAGCGCTATTAATATTTCAGTATTGCACCAAGTCACAGGGTTCACCATACAGCCCTTAAACATCAGTTCACTTTCATCAGTTTAGTACATATGAAAGAAAAATTGATAATTTTTTGGTTTAGAAATGGGGGGTGCAGTGGGTATCGCTGTCACCTCACAGCAAGAAGGTTGCTGAATTGATTCAAAATGAAAGTATATTATATAAATGGGTACTCTATTATGTGAAATATAATCTTCAGGCCGTGTGCTTCATTTTAATCAACTCAGAGGCTGTATGTAATAGTTGGGTTACTTACAGTGCTCAGCATATACAAGTACACCCCACACAAATCTTTTAAATTGATATTTTTTAATCGGAAGCTTTATAATATTATATTTGTGCGTATACATTAGATTAGTCAGTACTAAAGCCAAATCTAGATCTTATCTAACAAAATTACTTACGATATCGGTCCAAAAACTAGTACACCCAAGTGTATATTATAAAAAAATATTAAATGCAAATTTTAAAAAAAGAGGAAAAAACAAGACGAGCAAAAAAGACTTAAATTTTGTAGGTTGTATTTTTTTTTTTGCAATATTTTGCGTGAATTTAATTGTGTTGTTTTTCAATTTCTAAATTTGTTTGTTGACTACAATATTACTTTAATAAATATATCTGTTTAATAAATCTGTTTTGTTTAAATGCATCAAAATACATTTCCTATATTCATGGAGGAATGGATAAAAATATTAATTTTCAGAATGGGGTGTACTCAATTATGCTGAGCACAGTATATTGGACATTATTGTCTAAAAGCTGTGGGAGTTTGGAATGTACTTAACCTCTTTTTTCACCCTTTAACATGCAGCAAAAGGACGGCTTGACAAGGTAGCCGAGTTGTTGATGGGGATTTTTTAAACAGTTAATATAACTGTTTGAGCATTTTTACTCTCCGTCATTCATAACTGTATTTTTTCTTTCTTTTAGAGACTCTTTTAGCAGAATGAGCCTTCGCAAGCTAGACATGTGAAGACCGAAGACATAAAAAGAACAAATGCAATTTTATTTATTTGTACATATATCTATGCTCCTCACACTATCAGTGTTTTTGCCATGAAGTAAAAGGAAAGATAAGTGTTAAGACGTTTGGTACATCATTCCAATTTTGTATTAGTGTACAAAATGGCCTGTTACATGATCATAAGAGCTGATGGTGAATTTAGCATACAAAGTGTCAAACCTGTATTCAATTCCTGTGTGCACTTTTTTTAATTTAATTTTTTTACTTCATCCCATTACATTTTTAATAACCATGGTACAACTTGAGAGTTTATTTAATCCTCATGGAAAAAGCAAAAAAAGTGATTTTGTTTCAGCATTATGTAGTTTTATGTACCTTTTGTTTACGTTGAATATTTTGCTAAATAAATACTCTTATAGTCATCTCAGTGTGCTGTTCAAGAAACTCAAGCACGATGCTTTTCTTTTTTATATGCTGGTGTTTTAATGTGGTAAATAAGAATCTACATAACCAGACAATAGAAAAATATTTACATTTTCCCTCTGTCCTCAAATATACAATAGAATACCATGTAGTAATAGAGACTCTACACGAAGGGTGTTATTTATTGCTCAGAGATCTAGCTGTACTGGTAGGGCCTGCTTACAACACGTAAAAGGAGGAAAGCTTCTTCAGACTGGATTGAGGTATGGCAGAGAAACTACAAAAATATGTCACTTTATCATTGTGGTCACTTCTATATAGACAATTAGTACACTCTGTCCTTTCAGAATCGACCACTTGTCAAATGAAGCTTGATCTCTGTGTGCAAATAGTCATAACTGCCGTTGGGAGCAAAACAATACCTGTGTCCTCTACTATCAACAATGTGAAATCTACACTGGGTTTTAAACTATGAACATCCTCTAAAACAGGGCAGTCAAAATGCAAATTCATACTCGAGACGAAAACTCAAACAACCAAAAATTGATCTCATTAAAAAAATATAAAACATCAGTGCACAATAAAATTACTTGTGCCAAGATTTTAGGGAATGCTTGAAAGTACAGGAAAGCCGATGTGCACTTCAGTAAGTGCCAAGGTGCGTTTGCATGAGGGTCACTAAAAAGCAGATGACATGGATTCACTTATCAAGAACAAAGAGTGAAGGAACAAAAAGGGAAAAAGTTGGCAACAAATGCCACAGCCTTAAGAGTTCAAATCTGCTTCCTGCTGACATCTGTTCCAAAAACATACATATCAACTATCAACACATTTCCTGCACAAGTACTTAATGTAGTTCAGCAAAACTCCGTAAGTATGTTGTCCGAATCCACTTGCCTGTTTTACTGAGAGACTCTCTTGTAGAAGAGCAGGTATGGTGTAGAGGTGGAGCACGTCTCTGGAGAACAAGCACGGAGGAAGTCCTCTTCTTCATAGAGTCTCACTTCAGAGTCATCAAACAGCATCCACTTTCCTTCAAAGTCCAGAAGATTTCTGAGAGCGAGGTCAAAACTGACCTGTGTCCCGTCTGCCACAGCATCAGCGCAGTCTTCCTCTGGCTCTTTCTTTACAGCGTTCTGAAGGAGAGCACGACTGGACAAGCTGGATGGCTTGTCTGGATTGTTTTGCTTGCTGTTGCTGAGTTCATAGCTGGTGATGCTCCTTTGTCCTCCTAAAAGGCCAACACCTTCAGAGCACCTCTTGCCTGCCGTTTTGCTGGACATGTTATTAGTTCCGCTGGTTCTGGCCACATTTCGCCCTCTGCCAGACAAGCTGAAGGACACCTCGCCATCATCATAGTCGGTTTGAGAAGTTTCCTCTTTCTTCTGTTTCATGTCTTCTTCTTGGTCTCGGTCATGCTCTTCATCCTGAGTCTGAGGCTTGATGTTGGTGTGATGGAGATCCATCATGCGGATGTAGGTGGTGTAGTGACCGCTGCTGATGGTCACTCCACTATGCATGACCACGGCGAAGAGCTCATAGTCTGGAGAGTCAGGCTGAGTGCACCACTCATGCAGGGAGAGTTTCAGAGGAGTCTGCAGAGGAGTGTTCACCTTGGAAAGGCCAGCATAAGGGTCCATCCTGTTTTAAAAAAATTCAAGAAATTATTAATTGTTCCAACTGCTCAAATCTACATTGCGAACTTGATTTAGGGCTGCACGATATTGGACAAATCTGATATTGCAATATTTTATTTTCTGCAATACATATTGTGATATGAGTAGTTTCAGAAGATGGTCTGAATAGCTCTTTGACAGTTTTCTGAGGAGTCTAACAGTATTCTGTTACAGAAATGAAATGCTTTACTTACAAAAAAAAAAACAAAACTTTTTTTTTTGTCTAAATATATTTAAAAAATTAGAACAAGTAAAAATATTGTTTAGTTTTAACCATCAGAAGAAATAAGTGAAAATTTAAAGATTTTGTTTGTTTTAAGGAAATTATCTGGCAGTGAGGTAAGTAAAATCTTGTTTACACTATGCAATGTAGATATTTGGATTAAAAACAAGTAAAATATTCTAGGTAAGAATTTTTTTTTTGCATAAATCATATAAAAGTCCATATAAATATAGTGATTAAATACCATGCGGTAGCTCCTGCTCCTCTATAATTCAGACTGGATATTGCATATCTTTGCGGTTTGAGTATTGTGGATGCGCACATTGCGATATCGATGTTGAAATGATACAATGTGCAGCCCTAACTTGAATTGGCCTGAATTAACTGTTTTTGTTTAGAAACGCATGTAATAAAAAACTGAGAGCAGTTCTACTGCTATCAGGTAGGTATTGTACTGTTTTTCCTAATAGGCCTAATAGTTAGTCAGGATTGTGACCCGAGGGGTGCAGGCTCGAGTCTAAGGACAGGCAGGGATTGTAGGTGGGACTTCCACCCTCAATATCGCGACTAAAGCAACTGAACGGTCAACTGCTCACCCCTCTGGTGAATATCTGTGTTTGCACTTTGAAGTGCTATATGCACAGCACAAATTCTGATAATGGGACACCACAATTCACTTCATTTTTCTTTTATATAATATACAAAGTAATTATGTGATAAAAATTATATATATATATATATATATATATATATATATATATATATATATATATATATATATATATTATAGGTGGGCATAGATATTTTTTAATCTAGATTAATCTCACTGTAATCTTGAAATTAATCTAGACTAAAATGGCTCATTTGAATTCTGTCGAAGGCATTCAGAATAAATGTGCTACCCAAATAATGGCTAAAAGTAAGTCTTTGAGAACAGGTTTCTCAAGCCAGGTGGCGCATTAGACCAGGGGCTAATCTCCAGTTTCCAAAATGCATCACAAACTGCTTGAGAAACTGTTCTACTACGATAATTGGTGACGAAAATTAATTATGTTCAGTAAGATGTACTTGTCTTTACTAACTGTTTATTCAATTAAACATAAATTTTGAACTGTAGGCCTACATAAGCTCCAAACAGCGAATAATAATAATAACTTTTTTGATTACCTTAACTGAAGTAAATAGAAATGGAATGAAGACGTGGAGTATGCAGATATTAGTGGCATTATTGAAGTAAACACAGCAGTCAAACTATTACCATCATGTAGGACTTTTCGCCATATTTTCCGACAATATCCACACACTTCAGTACAGTAAAGGACCATGCACACACACACAGATTGAAAGATGCAGAAGTTTTTTTTTTTTCATTTAGTGTGCATTAATAAACTCCTTAACACTCTCACCAGTCCTTACTCCTTATTTGCGTCTAATACCCCAGTTTGTCATGGGGGCATGAATGAAATGTTCATGAGTGAAATATCCAGAAGGGCAACCCGCTGATTTGATTATATATATATATATATAAGCTTTATTGTGGAAAGCTAGTAAACAAGCACTAAAATCAATATAGGATACATACTCTGAGCCATTGGCAGCAAAGCACTTCAGATGGATTGTGATGACTTCTGGCGTTTTGTCAAACAGAAGACTTCTCTCAGCTTCTGTGTAGTGATGACAGGTCTCACAGAAATATTTATCTTGGCCCACAATACGCTCAACAGATGCAAACTGAGATATGGCCCACTTTAGAGTTTTCAGCTCGGTCTTGGGATCTGGAGAAACTGTAGAAGGAAATGTAGTCATGATGAGCATCTGAAATGTTCTAACTAGCATAAAAAAGCAAACACAAAGAGATTTAAATGTACTCACTCTCAGAACTAGAGTCAGAAGAGAGGGTTTCGTCTTCTTGCACAGGCACACTGATGTCTTGAAAATCCTCTCTTCTCTCTGTGAAACACTCACATTCCAGACAACGTGTCCGCAACACCAGCTGACCCTGAAACATCCACTTCAGCACATCCAGGCCTGATTGCTCTAATTACACAAGAAACAAAATGTTAATGTTTTTGTTTTCAGATAATATGCTAATTAAAATTCATTTAAATAAACCAATTAAAAATTACTCCTCTATTAATTGTAGGATCTGATTAGGACATGGGATTTAATCAGAAAATGCTACAACATTTACCTTCATTCTTTCCCAGATCCTGTTTAACTTCATGAGTTTTGTTTTCATTCTCAGAGTTGTCCTTGTCCTGTTTCTCCTGAGAACTACAATCTGACTTCTCCTTGGTCTCTCCTTTTGCTCCTACATGTGAAGTAATTCGTCCCATGCTGCGAAACTTGGAGAAGATGCTAGGCTGCTTCCCTGATGGCCTCAACCAGCCCAGCTTCCCTCTCCTAGTCCTCTTGCCTGTATCTTTAGGTGGACTGTCATTCTTCTCTTCTTCTGTGGTGCTATCCTTCTCTTGCTCTTCTGTGCCATTCCTCTGCTCAGTAGCTGAATTCTCTGTGCTTATTTCACTGGAGGACTTGCGTTTCGAGCGGGTCATAGGCACGTTTTCTTCATTTTTCTTAGACTTGCTTTGAGATTTTGGCTTCTTCTTAGCATTGCCTGCTTCTGTGTCACTCTTTCTCTTTCCACTCAGCTGGCTGTCAGAGCTCCCGTCACCATCCTGGACAGACTCGGTTCCATTGATCATTGTGGTGTCCTGGTTGTCTGTTTGCTCTTTTTTGATAGTGTCACAGGCCTCCTGAATGTTCGCAAGAATGCACTGCAGGACCTCCTGTGCGTCATGCTGCAAGTAACCCTCATACATTGGGTTGAGCTGCCTGCAGAGGAAAAATCAAATCGAAAGTTAGTTCAATAGCATATATATATATCCAAAGTTTTTTTGCCGATGACTGATATTTTGGCCCACATCAGTACCTGAGCGCATTAAGCAGTTTACGTGGTGGTGTGGCTAGCTCTCCATCATTGTATTTTTCTGGGTTAAGCAGGAAGCTGGACTGCAGCTGCTCCACAGAGGAAATGAGGCTGTGGAAACTGCCCAACAGCTCCATGGGAACAGGTAGGGTGTTCTCACCAGAGTCCCCCTGATAACAAAATATCATTCAGTGTTTAACGCAATTATTAGCTGTTCTGCATATTTTGTGACATAATTAGCAGCCGCTTTTAATGGAACATATTTTAAATTTCTGTATTTACTTTTTTTAAGACTACTGATACTAATATTCTTTTATTTTATACACACGTAATGCAAATGTCTCAGGAGATTTTATGAAACTAAAGACCAACCTCATTGTTGGCACCCTCTTCTTGCGGTTTGTCTTTCAGTTTAGCCACATGACACAAGGACTTGATGGCTTCTTTAAAACCAGGACAGTAATATAAAACCTGCAATTAGAAAAGGTCATTAATTAATTAGATCCAAACAACTAACAAAATGCAGATATTACAGCAAGACACAACAATCTACATCTTTTTTTTACCCCACAGATGTCACTTTTTTTAATATCTGTATTTTGCAGCAGCTTTCAGTGAAAAAAAACCAACCAAAATTAATTTTATTTTATTACACTTTATTTACACTATTTTCAGATATCAATACATATCTTAAAAAGCTTTAAAGTTTATTTTTTCACAATTTCATTAAATTACATTCATTTTAATGGGATTAAAAATGGTAATTTCCTGAATATGTGTATACACACACACACAACCGGTCAAAAGTTTGAGGTCAGTACGATTTTAAAATGTTTTTAAATAAGCTTGTCCTGCTTACCAAGGCTGCATTTATTTAATAAAAAAACAGTACAAATAGTAAAATGTTATTGCAATATAAAATAACTGTTCAAAAAGTTTATCATTTAATTTAATCATTTATAATCACTCAATAAAATTTAATAGTTGAGATACATCTATTTGGTTAAAGTTATGATCTTAGATAAGACCTTAAAACAAGTTTCAAACAGAACCAAAATTATAGTGAATTTTTTTATCCTCAATCTGTTAAAAATGTTTTTTTTTAATATTCATAAATTATACCATGTTTAAATTATATATTACATAATTTGTATATTAAAAAAATTATGTAATAAAAATAGCTCTCTTAGTGTATTGCAACTCATCAACAGTGGGAATTACGTTTAGAGTTAGATTTTTTTTTAATAACGATAATACTTTATTCAATTCACCTGTGTTGTCCTGGCTAAGAAATTGTGACAATTAATAATTGAAGTGAAGATACGATGAACAGCGCATACCTGAAGGATGCTATTCAAGTAGCAGGTGTTCCCCAAATTATTAAACCCAACGAAGGGGACCAGGCTCTCGCGCTTCTCGCAGGTAAGAGGAGACGAAGGGCAGGGCAATGGCACAACCTGGTCATGACTTATAGGGGGAAATAATGAAGCATAAGTTTAGGAAAAATTTAATTTCATCAACGTAACTGATTGCTCCATGAAAACATGCCATACCAAATAGTCTCTTGCGGCTCAGCGGTAACGTTACTGTTGTCTTCTGGCGGGGCCTCTGAGAAGTCCAGAGCGCGTTTGGTTTCCTTCTTCTGAAAGAACTTCAATGAGAGTTTGCTTTTCTTCACAGGACTGCCAGCTGCAGTCACAACTCCACTATCACTGTGCAGCCCGGGCATTTTAACCTTTTACTGATCAAAATGTAAAAGAAACAAGTAACGTTAAACGTCAAAACGGAACAAGTTCAGCCAGAGTCTTCAACATCAGCCACAAACCGCGTGAAAGCCTTGAAGTCGGATGTGCTCTCGAAAACAAAACAAGCACTTTCTACAAGTAACATGACTTTCACATTCAATGTTTCACACATATGATTGATTATAGGTTAATATTCACGGGGTCGCGTTTCGTTTTATCATTATTAATTCATTAGAGTGAACACACGTATAGCAGTGTTGCTAACCGAGTAACGTTAGCCGCCCAGCCCACACAACATGCAGGTTCATTTCTGCAGGAGTACTTCAGAGTTACGTAATACGAAACAAAACTACGTTTAAAATGATATTACCTTATAAGACTTCTTATGCAAGGGTTACATTTTTGCGGAGTACACTCTAAAAGTACGCGGTTTCGCGTTAAATATAAACAACTTGACAAGCGCGTTTGCTGTAGAACTTGGCGCTTTTTCCACGACAAGGAGTTGCGTCTAGTGCCTGAACAAAAAGAGACGGTCGCTTAAATATTCCGACATTAAAGAAGGTGAGACGCGCAATTTGTTACTAAATTAGTATTCTGAATAAAATATATATCATTAGTTTTTCGAAACCATTATTAAACATCTAAATACTTTTCCTGGCAAAATGTTGGGCTACCTATCGTCTTGTGTGCCGTTTTTAACCGATCTGAGATCAGCATTGTGGGTTATTCTGACTGGGGTTTGTGAACATGTGGCTGAATTTGGATCAGCGTAAATAGGGTCCATCGCAGGAAGCCGCACCGATTGTACAATTTTCGGTAGAAACGTCTTTATCAATGTGTTATTTTGATCAAATATTGATATTTTAAATCGCATTTTTGGAAAACATTTACTCCGTGTCATAAAATATCTCTTGAAATTTCTCTTGAAAACAAGAGTAATGGTATTAACGCTTTGACTGACTGCTCTACCAAATGGTTGACCGTTTTTAATAATGACTGTTGTTAAAGTAATTGAATGAATGACTGTTTTAAATAATGTTTACACACAGCATTGTTGGTTCACAAAAAACAAGCAAACATAATCCTGTTGCATTACTACACTTGATTTTGGTTTTATTGTAAAAACAAAACGTGTAAAATAAGAATGTAAAATATTTTACAGCATACTTAAAAAGTAAACATGATTTAGTATTCAAAAATGTGTTTTTTTGTTGTTGTTTTTTTAAGGTTTTTTTAACATGACAAATTTGAAAAAAAAAAATTTATTGTATAAGATATGTATTCATTCCGGTACTTTTACCATAAACCGACACATCTACCATTTGGTAGACGTTGATATTTTAGAAATTATGGGATGTGCTGAAAAAATGCATCGAGTGACTAGTGGCATTAGGAGTTAAGAAATCAATCCAAACATTTATTTTCTTGGTGGGGAAGTAAAGGGTTTAGAAGAATGCATTAGTGAATTATTAGTGTTGTTATTAGGGAATAGTTTGGGAAATTTAAACACGAGTAAAACGGAATGCATGCTTTTACAGTCTAAGATGCAAAAAGCATTTCCTACCTTTTACCAGCAGATGGACATCTAGAGCAATACTGAACCAGCAATGCTAACCAGGACTTGCGATTAACATTTCACAATTATATTTTCTTTTTTTTTCTGTACTAACACTCACATATTTTTTTCATTAATTACCATTAACTAATTACCATTAATTCCATGGAAAGGTAGGTATATTTATAGATGCTTTAATTTTTGACTTATTTAGGCTGACTAAAAGAAATGCTATGTGCAATAGCGTTTTATGGAGAATAGCATTGCACAGAAAAACACAGCTGTCAGTTCACCTACCCACGTACTGTATATTACTCAAGAGACAACTAATCTGCAGATGTGCTTGAAGAGGCTGATCTCAAACCCTTTGAAATCACATTTTAGCATCTGCTGATGGGTTGCATCTCTAGAACTCCCTTGTCAGAAAAATGTGAGGAAGACAAAAAAATGTAACTTTTTGTATGGAAGACTGAGGCTACGGTTTTCAAAACAGCTATAAATCAGTAAATACACTGGCATGCATTCAGGCAAATGTTAATCATGCTTTTAATGTTTATATGAAAATATTTTAGGCTGAAGAGAGTTGGCCCTTGTTTTGCCCTTGTTTTTGCAATTTTGTGCCTTTTCTTGCTATATTTTTTATCATTATGATTTGAATATTTTATCATAATGCTATATAATGCACAAATACTAAATTAGTGGATTCTGATGATTCTCTTAGAAAAAAATATAAATCTCCATTTCAGCACAACTGTTACAAAGTAACAGTTCAGAAAACGTTTGACTGAGATGAATGTTCTTTATTCATTAACTAGAATAGAATAGAATGCCTTTTATTGTCACTGTACTCTGTATACAATGTACATTATATACATGTGTGATGAGATTAAGTGCATCTCACTTGTGCAAACATGTAAATATATCCTTTTAATACAAATCACACTAAACAACAAGTTACAGTACAAATAACAAGACTATAAACAATGGTGCAAAATAGGGGATGTGAGGGGGGTTGGGTGAGGTGAAGTAAACAGTTTTGAGGTAGAAAGAGAGATCTACACAAGATGTATGTAAATGTACGATGATAAATAAATAGTAGTGCAAAAAAAACTACATTCAGAAGATTAAGATTTATTTTATTATAATGGGTGTCACGGTGGTGCAGTGGGTAGGATGTCAACCTCACAGCAAGAAGGTCACTGGTTCGAGCCTTGTCTGCGTCAGTTGGCATTTCTATGTGGAGTTTGCATGTTTTCCCTGTGTTTGCGTGGGTTTCTACTCAGTGCTCTGATTTTCGCCACAGTCCAAAGACATGTGGTACAGGTTAATTAAATAAACTAAATTGGCCGTAGTGTATGTGTGTGAATGAGAGTGTATGTTTACCATAGAAGTTGGTTCATTACACTGTAATGACCCTAGATTAATAAAGGGACTAAGACGAGAATGAATGTATATTATATTATATTATATTATAATATATTATATTATATTATATTATATTATATTATATTATATTATATTATTCATTCATTCATTTTCTTTTTGGCTTAGTTCTTTTATTAATCAGTGGGTCGTCGCAGTGGAATGAACCATTGCGAAATGCCCTTCCAGCCGCAACCCAACACTGGGAAACACCCATACACTCTTGCATTCACACACATACACTACAGCCAATTTAGCTTACTCAATTTACCTATTTTCTATTTCATTTGTTTGTTTATTTAACAGAGACAATACACTTGACATTGTTATACAAAGGTAACCGATGTTGCATACATAGGGCATATAGCATAAAGCTAATTTGCAGCCCTCGTCCCTGGTTAGGCTTTACATTAAAACTGTAAAAAAAACACAATACAACAAACATGTACAGTATATACAAAGCCACAAGCATAAAATGTAGGTCAATCTGCATAAAGAGAAAGATAAACCTGACCAATCTGAAAGAATAATACTGAATATTCACATTTCTGTAAAGATTTCAAACATTGTTTCTACTTTACAGAAAAAAAACTGGGAGTTCTAATTGTAATTTTAAACCAACAGGCATTGCATTCCATAGATGTGAGCCTTTCAAAAGGATGATGACCCAAACTGGTTCTGCATCTGCGGATTCTACAATTCCCACTTACAGCCCCTCTAGTCTTATAGCGCATGTCTTTGGACTGTGGGGGAAACCGGAACACCCGGAGGAAACCCACGCCATCATAGGGAGAACATGCAAACTTCACACAGAAATGCCAACTTACCCAGCTGAGGCTCAAACAAGCGACCTTCTTGCTGTGAGGCGACAGCGCTACTCGCTGCGCCTTCGCGTCACCTTATTGTAGATATTTAAAATTAAATTAAACTACTTTAGCTTTAACTACATATATTTGGCCAAAATGATTGACTATTTATTTTTATTTGTTTATTTATTTTGTTGTATTGCTAAACAGAACAATTTAAATACAATGCATACATAATTATGTAATAAAAAGAACTTCAAGTAAAACATACATTCTACTTATATGAGTGTAGCTGATTAAATGCACCTCTTCTCATTCCCTACAGTGTACACCACGCAGTCTAACAGAATGCAGGCACACCAGCCCTGGGAAGAAGCCTGGAGTCTGGAAATGCGAAGAAATAGAGCAGCGAGCTCAAGAATGAGAGGCATGTCCTGTACTCTTTCAGCCCCAGCTGAGCTGTGCTGTTTTTTAAATCACTTTACCACACTAAACCCTCCTCAGTATCAGTGACACACACACTACACTCCAGCTGGACACACATACACATGTCAGTGCAAAGCTCAAGCAGCATACATATTGTATAGGCAATGTGGATAAACAACAGCATAATCTTTTAGCATGCACTACTTTAATCCTATAGCATCTGAACATGATGGGGATCTGTATGGGGGTGTTGGCTGCTGCTGCTGATGTGTGTGTGTTAGTGTGCCTGACCCTGCGTCTGCCATTGGATGAGCTCTGTGGAGGGAGGTGTGTTCAGCCTCACAGTATAGCGCTTGTTATGAGAGCCTTCTGCCGTCCCCTTCCACAAACCTCAATAACAATATCGCAGAGGCTGAGTGAGTGTGAGTGTGTGTGTTGAGGAGTGTGTAGCACCATTGCTGCTGCTGCTGCTGCCTGCGGCTTCCTCCCTGTGCTGGATATTCCTTGAAGGTCTGCCTCACCTCTGCAGTGCCTGGGAAAAAATAGAGGGACCCTAAGAGACTGAGGTAAGTGATGTGAGATAATACATTCCTCATCTGTCAGCTCCATTATTTAACTTCCCTCATGTTTACCTTTGGAAAATGCAGCACACTTCAATAGATCCCACCCACCCTGCCTTTAAATCCACTCTTTTCATACCTCCTCTCTTTGGTCTGTGTCATTTGGTGGTCTTTGAATATAATTGTGCGTTAAGTTGCACATATTCCTCATGGCTGTTTTATTAGTTTATATAGGATGTCTGTCCATCATGAACGCAGCGTTTAATGTAGTAGGCAGCCTACAGTGTCTCTCATAACACAGCTCATGTCATCTCGCGCTTGGCTATGCTGTTTCAGTTTACCTCCCCGCTGGGTTGTCTTAATGTCGACCAGCTGGCTGTTACTGGGTGTCAATCTGGCAGAGATGCGAGACACGCGCTCGGTCGTGCCGTAGTGCAGCACTGCGCTCCTGCTCGCGCGTCTGCAGTGCTGCTCGACAGCTCAGGCTTGTTATTTCGCGATGGTGACTGGCTCGTTTGCAGCGGTCCAGAGACGGTGAGCTCAGCCGGTCGAGATCTCTGTGATATCCCGCGATGCCCGAGGCGAGATCCTGGGTGCCATGCATATTAAGGTCCCTGCTTGATTCATGTGCAGAGCGCGCGCGGTAGAGATAGCGGGTGATGGATTCGGATGTTATTATGGGTTGGTCTCAGTGCCTGTCTTTGGACATGACACAGTTAGGCTGTAGCAGGAAGCAATGCATTTTGTAATCTAAACCGCAAGTTGACTGAATCAGAACGAATTAATAAATTATTCAATCTGTTTACGCAGGAATGAATGTGGTGTGTGTATTTGGGAGTGTGCAAATATTTGTAACCTGTTCACTGACAAAAATAAGTAAACCCCAATGCAGAGTACAGATAGTCATTGCAATTGCACAGGGTGTGGATTATGGATCATTTGTAGGGGTCCATAATCCCCTAATTAATGCTCGTACCCCCACAAAGTCAGTCAAAACAGATTGGGCGAATTAGTGTTTAGTAAAGTTTAAGGAGGATTTATGACCTGTCGTCAAATAGATGCTAACCAATAAGCCCATTCTTTATTGGAGCCAGCATAGCAACACAGCACCACGTTTTATTGTGAATACCTTTTAAAGTAATTTAAAAATACTGGTATTTTCTTGACTTGTTATTATTTACACGTTATTATTGTTCACATGTAAATGGCAATGTCCTAAATATTTATTTAAATAGTTAGCTAATAAATTTAATTACAATTTAGGGATTTTCACACTTTGTTCAACCCTGGGTTGTCTTTAATTAGATCAGTGGTCTCAAACTCAATTCCTGGAGGGCTGCAGGTCTGCAGATTTTAGCTTCAGACACCTCCAAATCACACCTGGTTAGTCTCTAGTAGTCTTGAACACCTTGATTAGTTGGATCAGGTGTGTTTGATTAAGGTTGGAGCAAAACTTGGCAGAGCTGGTTGTTGCTAGAGCGGATATGTTTTATTTATTAAATTTCTCATTTGTTGTATTTAATTAATGTCTACCCCCACCCCAAACCTAAACCCAACCGTCACAGTAATGTAAAAACAGTTGTTGTACAGAGTATTAGTTATGTTATCTGTTAAATTACCCAATAAAATGTATTTTTAACGCCTACCCCCAACCCAACCCTAAACCCAACCATCACAGTACCGTAAAAATATTAATTATTGTTATACAGTGTCATTAAAAACTGCTGCTTTATTAATGTGCATATCGCACTTCCGGCTGGCCGCATATCCGATCTAGACTTTACCGGCAGAGCTGCAGCCCGCCAGGAATCCAATTTGAGACTTATGATTTAGATGGTAGTCGTTTAACATCAGCCTGGCAAAAGGGGTGGCCCTTTGTTCTCAAAAATTAGACCTTTTTGCAGTTATTTGCCTCATTTTCTATTTAATTATGAGGTTTAGCTGGATTTTGAGATCTTTAGCTTGATTAACTTGTTGGGTGGACATCATAACCACACATTTTGATGTACGAAAAATATTTACAAGAAAGAAATATAAAAAAAATACTTGTTTTTAAAATCCAAATTTATTACATCATGTATCATTGGGGAAAAATAGGAATCTGTTTTTAAGTGAAAAACTGTAGTCGTGAATAATAAAAAGTTAAAACACAGTAATAAAAATAACAATAATGTAGAGCTTCACAATTTTTCTAGGCTCTCTTGTCAATAAGTACATTTGAAAACTCATGCATGACAACAATAACCAAATTATCATTTAAATTAATTTTAATATGGCCTGCTTTTGGTGTTTCACACCTTTTTATTGGTAATTTTTTTGTTTCAAGAAAAGGTCAAAGATTTAGAATAAAAGTTACTTGTAAAATTTTTTCTCTATTTAAAAACAACATAGTAGGTCAATAGTGAAAGATGACTTTTCTTCACTCAGCTATGTATTCTTGCACAGCTGGATGTTGAACTCATGAAAATAATTATTATTTGTTAGCATTGGCCAAAACTGTTTATCTGTCACCACAGCCAACAGAGGATTCCACTTGGTCTTAAAGCTTTTTAATGGATTCTTTGCACAATTTATGATGGCATAGCTGTCAAAATAGGACAAATGTGCTCTTGTATGGGACACATTCGACACCTTTATCGGTGAGGGGTGGGTCTTTCGAACCACCCAACCCCCCTCTGACTACAGGCCAGAACATGGATATGTAGGGTCATTTCATTTATATCTAAATGTCTCATCTCTGTAATTACTGGGGACTTTAAAAAATGAAGAGGTAAAAGCTTGCTTACTTTTACCCTATGTAAAAAGTTTTGTTATGTGAACCCCACAGTAAACGTGTATGCAAATATTCTGTCGTTTGCTGTTTCTAGGGGGTTTCAAATATGCTGGAGGTTATTGAAGCACTTTTGGTAAGTTTACTAAGATATCTCATCCCATACAAACTGGACACTAATATTACAGACATCCTGTGATATAATTACAAGACTCCATCTACCCTTGTAAAACTAATCCTCCCATAATAGGGCTCTTGTTAAACATGGATTCCAAATCTAGCTAAAGTAACTTTTAGAACTACTTTTATGAAACCCTTCTCCAGGGCAGGATTAGCACCGCTTTTTGCATTTTGGTGCCAAATATATTGAGTGTGAACTGAAGTGATGTTACAATGTTATGCTAGATTAGCAACCAGAAGCCAATCACATGCCTAATTTTCGTTTGCTTTGTACAGTAAATGAAACACTGAGTATTGTATTGACCTTATTCTTTCACACAAGAGTGGACGCAGTCATTTTAACCTCTATCATAACTTTCAGTCTTACTCACTTCCACTGATTTGTAGACATAAAAAACAGCTTGTTAAGCAGATGGATGTTGCAAACTGTTATATTCTTATTATATTAGTTTAGGGTTTTTTATGTATAGTCATAGAACAAGTATTTTAACAGTTTTCTGCCATTTGTTATTCCTTCAATTTAGCAAATTATTTAGAAGTATTAAATAGGCATGTACTCACACACTACAGACAATTTAGCTTACTCAATTCAGAAAATGCCAACTGAGCCGAGATTCAAACCAGCAACCTTCTTGCTGTGAGGCGAACGTGCTGCCCACTCCGCCACTGCGTCGCCCCATAATTTCATGGTATTATTACTGCTATTATTTCTATGATTACTGCTCTAAATTCTTTTTAAATGTCAGTGTAAAACTTAAATGTCAATTTTTAATTTGAACACAAAATATTTAATTTTGAGAAACTTTTAAAATATTTTGGCGAAGTAAACATGTAAGGCTAAATAATTCAAATGACTCTATGACCTCTGCTGTCTTCATTTGTTTTAAAAACACAGATTTCTTTACAATTCAAAACGGCATCTTTGGATATCTTTTCGGATGGACATACTGTTGTCCTAAAAAAAAATAAAAAAACGTAAATAAAAAAATCGTACACACACCATAGGAGCGGTACTTTTCCAAACCGCGGTATACCTTGAAAACGTTTATCATCCCATGCCTAGTACCAAAACAAAAGCACATTGCAGAATAAGTTAAATTGAAAGTGAATAGTCTTTTCAGTATCTGAGGAAAAAAAAGAAAACTAGTGACAAAAAATGTCATCAATTTGAGTGAAAAAACATACAGGGCTTAACAATAAGGACTGCCCGATGGCCCTGGGGCCAGCGTGAGAGATGCTCGGGACAGTAGACAGAATGGTTACTGGCCCGATCAGACCCGTGCTCCCTTGTCACTAAATTTTTATTTGCATGCGACAATTTATCAACTGCATGCAAATACAGTCTTAAAATTAAGAAACTATTTGTTCTTTTAAGTCTTTGAATGCTAACTTTTCTGTGATGTTGTAAACACCATATTGCTTTTCATGTCCTCTTATCTGATTGGATGTTGTGAGCATGTTATTTTTTTCCATAACCTGGTAAAACCAGAACAATGAAGAGATGACAACATGACGGCCACATCAAATTATGAGGCTAAAAGAAAACATCTGTTTCTAACATTGTGGAAACAGACATTTACATGGGTACAACATTATGAAAAAATGAAGAGATGTTTTGCATAGTTTGCCGTCACTTTTAAGTCAGCCACCTTTTTCTTTTGCAATAAAACACCTGCACATTTTCCATACGGCTATATTTTACTGCTAAAAATTTTTACATTTTTAAAGAATTTAAATTCTAGATTCACACACATTATTTTTGACACATTATTTAAAATATGTGGCTAAGAAATAGCTATAACTATTATTATTATTTTTTTTTTTTGGTGCGGGGCCTGTGAATATTTTGGCAGGGCAAGTAAAAATCTGAACCACTAGTCCAATCGGGCCAGTAGAAAATATTCTTAGCATTGAACCCTGAACATACATTTCATTTTTCTCTTTATTTCCAAATCCTTTCGGGAGGAAAATTGGCAACACATAAAGATGTGACACACTTTAATCACAGCTTTAAGTGTCAAAAGAAAGTTTATGAATATACTCTGAAATAATTGTTAAAATTATAAGCAACTTGCAATGTGAAGCAAGACAAGTCAGGACTTCATTTACCCAGGGTTAAGAATGACCAATGGGTTAACTATTTCAAGTGTGAAAAGCCGTATTATGTATCAGTTCAATAAAGATTTGCTGGCCAAATTACAATTTATGCAGAGAATTGTTGACCTCAACCGATTGCCCGCTGGAAATTGCTTTTTAGTTAACCAGATCTCAAAATTCCTCAGAAAATATGAAATTCCTTTGAAAGTGTCTGCCCCTTTGAAAGTCATTGTATAATTGGCTCACTGCCTTTGCACATGTAATGTCTCCCTGAGAGCCTACAGGCTGTTTGATGTTCTCAGGAATGCAGAGGTACATCAAACATGTGACCCAAGGGGCCACCCAAGAGTTTAGACTCCCAAAAGATATTGTGAAAGTTTGCCATCATTATGGAGACTACTGAAATACTGCGCTTTATAGACTTGATTTAGTTGTTTCAAGTTTTTATTTAATAGATTTGTGTTCATTGCTTTCCAAATACAGGTTGGTCAGATGATTCTATAACTTATCTGGTAAAGTAAAATCTAGTAGACCCAGGGGATCTTTCATAAAGTAAATAAATAAATGGACCTGATTTTGCTCTTGTGACCAGTCATGTGGGCTTCTTGCTCAAACAAGCACTTAGTTAAAACGATGACTAGAGAGAAATATTAGGGTACTTCAAACCTATCAGATGTTTTACGTCTGCTGACTTTTGCACTCAAACGGTCGTATTGTATATTTGTTAGTTTCTTGGATGTCTGAAGTGGTGGGCATGAGAGAGCTCGTTGTGGACGTTATGGAATTTGGCATAGCGAGGTCTCTTGGGGTTCACATGTGAGGCTCTGTGGGGGCGATTCCTTGTCCATTGTTTTCTGCTGAAGGACATTTCTCACAAAACGGAGATGGAAACAATGGCTTATATAATTTTCAAGCCGCTCCTGCCCTTTAGATGCATTTCTCATATGTGCGTAAAAGAAAAAAAAATGTGCGAGACCTGGATTTCTTTGAAAGCTCCTCAAAGGAAAATCTTCTGACAGATGAATTGTAGTTGTATATCGGATTTTCCAGGGATCTCATGTTCTCATAAATGGAAAGTTAGATTTGTAT